AACAACACAATGGGCTTCATCAATGAACATCGAGACAACATTCTGGGTGAACCCCGAGTTGCGGAGTACAAGGTCGGTGAAGCGGCGGGATTGGAGCATCTCGGGTGAGACAATCACTACTTGATACTCGAGGTTGAGGATTTTCTAGAGTTTATATGCCATGGTTTGAGACGTTTCAAAATGACGTGAGAAGCAGCTTACCTCAATCACTTCTGCACTGCAGCCGCCATTTTTGCTATGTAGTGTGACCGCCTTGAGGCCGAAGTCGTCACGAAAAGTGTCGACCTGTTAGGTGTCCGCATCACATCATTCACTGGGGAACTGGGCACACTGGAATGCAACATACCATCTCCTCTTCCAGAGCCATGAGGGGACTCACCATGAGGGTGACCTTCTTTGCAAAAGCGGGCCAAACATGCGGACCTGCGGCAAGAGCTGTCTTCCCCGCACCTGTGGGAGCTTGGACAATCATATCAACGCCTTCGAGCTGCGCGACAACAGCCTTGAGCTGGAAATCCTTTGGATCCGAGTCCCATTTGAAGGCCTCGCGCATATGAGCTTTGAGCTGGGTGGTGTCGACTTCGGTGAGCCTCGGGCGAGGTGTGCCACTCTTCTGTATCGCATAGTTCCGCAATTTACTTGGGCGAGATCGATGGCCCATAGTGACGAAGAGCAGGGATGAAGCAGAGAGTACAAATGAGTAGCAGCCGGGAGTGTATGAGTGAGAGGGAGTGCACGCCGCGGCAGCGGCACCGTCTGAGGGAGGGCCAGAATAAGCGCCAAAAATTCCGCATTGCAACGTCCCGCGCAGGCTTCGTTCTCTACATGCATCAACCCCTACAAGGTACGGTAAAGCGCGGCCGATGTTCCGTTAAACTCATAATTCTCCCTGAAGAATGGCTGGTCAGAGCAAGGAAAGACAGCTCTGGGAAGAAACGGACCTATGGAGCATGTCGGAACTGAGTTCTCCTCCTCCGGAGTCACCTACAATAGGCGCAGCGGCACGGCATGCAGCCCGAGCAGCAACAGCCCATGAAAGACGAACAAGTTCTGATGTTCAAGATCTGCAAGACTGCCTGGACACCACATCGATGAACCGTGGCCATCTCAGTGTCCTCTCAACACCGCGAGGGCAGCAACATGCACGGTCTCTTCCACCCACTCCCACTCGCGACCCCGACTTTCAAGACCCGAGAAGTGACGACTCCTTCACAATGTCACCGCATGTTAAAAAGCTGCCAGGAGAGGGTAGGACGGACTTCAATAAACGCCGAGGATATGTTCATCAACAACGTACCAAGTCGAAGAAGAACGTCACAATACGGGCTGAGCGCGACGCCAACCTGGCTCAAAACCGACAGGCGCAGGTCGACCTTGAGAGAGCAGAACAGCAAGCGAAGAACGAGGTCTTCGAGAGCATCGTGAAGACTCTCAAGGAGGCGAAGATTCCCTGGGGCGACTTTGTCGAGTGGATATCAAATCCGACCTCGGGCCACCGTGAGGAGCGATGGAGTGAATTCTTCAGGAACGGTAAGCAAGTAAACCGAGTCCTCGACATGTGGGCGTACCGGAACACAAAGACGGCGATGGGAACCATTAGCGAGTGGGCAGTCAAGCATGTCGGTCGGGAAGTCCGTCTTGAGGCAGATGCTTTGACGCGGTCTGGCGTACTTCAGGGCAGAAAGGTGGAGGTGACTGAGGATTTCTTGCAGGAGCTGGACATATCAGACTTCCTCCGACGCGTGCGGGAGAAATGCCCTACCATGGCGGCCGTGATGAGCGAGTTCAGCACTACCCTGCGACAGCGGAGACAGAATGCACTTGACGACGCGGGAGGGAAAGATTGGTCAGCGCGCAACAAACGAAAGGAAATAGTGAGTCTACATTACCTACTGCTCAGTGACGCGTGCTGACTGGTCTTATCTCACAGCGCATAGGAATTGCACTTGCTGACCTGTTGGGCGAGCGCAGTCAGAACAACAGCCTTCTCAAGCACATAATGGGCCTATATCTGTTCGCGTCCGGAGCCTCACGCCAAACGATCACTGTTCTTGCGTCGCTCGGCATATGCAGTAGCTATGCTGCAATAGCCGGGAGCAGCAAGACATCATCAGTTGCTCCTCTCAAACCCTCGGCTAAGGGCAAGAACAACACCCCAGTGGAGAACGACAACGAGGATGACCCCGACCTCGCCAATGATGACGAAGTTGAGGATCCTGTGGTTGAGATTGCGGGGGTCCCACCGGAGGTCGATCGCGCAGATGAGCAGGACAAAGGCACTCACCAAGGTGTGTCTGTTCCTAATCCCATTGAGCTTGACCACACTTGCTAATTGTAGGTCAAACATCTGCTGTCACCGAAGAAGCAGAGACTAGAGGTCGGCCAGGGGGAGAGAGCCGTATGGAGGTCGCGGTTGAGGGAGAGGAGGACGTGACACCCCACGCCGAACGCGCGCGCGCAGACTCCGAGTGCGCGCGCGAGGACTCTGAGCGCGCGCGCAGCCCACGCGATCAAGCGCCCACTGCCCCGTCCTCGCCCTCGCCCAGGCTGCCGGCTGGCGCCGGTCTCCTTCGCCGACTCTCCAACACTGCTCGTCATGCTGCCCGCTTTCTGGCTCACTCTACCCCTTTCGGTGCTGTGTATGACAACATCAACATGGTATTCAAGGTTTCCGAGCAAATCGTCGGTCGCAAGGATGCTCAAGAGAACGGGACCTGCACCACAATATTCCCTCTCTTCGATGCCTCACCAATCGACATGAAGAGCTCCAACCTCCGTAATTCTTTCGACACTGCCCCGCCCTTGAGCTTCAACCAGGTTATGCTCTCTCCGACTGAGCTCACCTCTCTCCGCAACTCCCTCACCCACACCGTCTTGCGAGAGCTCGTCAACAACTGCGAGTACTTCTCCAAATTCCGCTCGAAAGTTCTCAGCAGTGTACCGGAGGCTGATGACCAGATACCGCTCCATAAGACCAAACCCTACACCCTCCCAGCTATGAACATTGATGAGAGCAGCATCGTCGGCAATGCCGAAGTCCTCGACACCATCATGGAAGAGCTCGGGATCGATGTCGACTCCGACAAGTTCCCAGAACTTGTTCAACTCTTCTTTGGCGATCAACTCTCGGTCGCCCGTGCACGCACCATCATGGCCAATCGCGGCGGGCATGAGAGGCTTGCCAAGTCGTACGGGTACGCCGTCTTTTGTCCCGGGCTCTTCCATTACCAGATGGCGCTGGTCAACGGCATAATGGAGACCCATTTCGGCGAGACGGAGGGACCTGGCTCTCGCAACCCCATATCGCTCTCATTCTTCAACACCCTTCTCAATCGCAAGCCCATCGTCCCCACATCCCTCCCTCCCTATCGCACATGCCGCGATCTCATTTTCGTCTCGCTCACTGCGTGTGTACTCACGTGCTTCAAACTCGTCTCAGGACACGACTCGCTCAAAGAATACGCCTCACAAGTCACGTACGACCAGCTCCTTGAAGACGCGCACACCATCGTCAGCAAGTTCTGCAACCAGAACACAGTCGACGAAATGCGAGATGACCGCAAGGCCGAGGTTGCAGCTCGACTGGCGGCACGCAAGGAGGCCGTTCGCAACGGCGAGAAGTCTGGAGAAGAGGAGTACGATGTCTATGCAGACGCACTGAAGCACGGTGACCTGCTATATGAGAATGCGTGTCTCTTCCTCCGCGACGCGCTGATAGCCCGTGAATTCACAGACGCGATCAAGGGTGGATACTCCGGGCGCATCGTCCGTGTCCTGAAGCACCTCGCGCTTGCGTTCCGTGGGTGTGGCCGGACGAAGTACGCTTATGAGCTGCTCCACCTCATACACTCAGTAGAGGTTGTATGGCCGAAGCCGTTGCAGTGAGTCCGCCTCCCCGTGTACGGTTGGGGACATGCTCACCCGTTCCCAAACAGCGACATCATACTCAAAAACTGGCTTGTCAATCCGACAGGCAAGAATAATGCATGGGTCCCGGTCGATCTTATGCAGGAACACATGAACTTTTGGACAAAAGTATGAATCTCTCACTGCCCGCCACTCATGCGGTTCTCACGGCTTACCTGCGCGGTGGTGGGCCAGATTGTATACAAGGCGCAAGGGAGCAACGCGTCATGGGAATGGCTGTCAATGATCACACCGTGCATCACCCTCTTCCGTCAGCTCATCTTGCAAATGAACTCGCAGCAAGGCACACGGCTCGGAACCAAGCACCACACCCCATCCATTGAGCGCGATCTTGCCTGCTTGCAAGATTCAATGCACGCACACGAGATTTTCGTCCACACCCCCGGGAGATACCTTCGTGGCCTCAAGAAGCCGCTCGTTCCCGATGTAGTCACGACAGGCGCGCTCGCGCTCAGCAAACCCATCGCTGAGTACAACGCGGCCTTCACGCGGCTTCAGGAACAGTTCCGCCATGGTGCAGTCGAGGACATGGGTCCAAATGATGACATAGTCTCGGTACGTACTCGTGCGACTCCTTGTTGCACCGTCGATCTCACGCAGCATGCAGAATACTGCCTCTGATGACGATGCGTACTTCAATGATAGCGATGGGGAGTTCGAGACTGCTGCCATCGCCGTTGCTGCAGCATTCGATGACTCTGCAAGCCTGGCAGGCTCAGAGGCGTCATCCGCCGAGCTCGAAGAGCAAGAGCCTCTTCATGATGTCATCGGGGATCAACTTGAGACCAGGTTCGACGACGAGGAAGAGCCTTCCTTGGACCTTGAGGACTACTATTAGCGACTTATATACATGTACATGAGCTCGCCTATACAAAGTGTGCATGCCAGCGCAGTGCGCGGGACTCGTAAACAGTGCGCGCGGACGTGGGGCGGGCGGGTGACCAGGAAGCGCCCGCGCGCGCAGACGTCTGCAGAGTGCTGAATGCGCGATTTCGCTAAGTCCCTCGCATGCACCTTCCTTTTTGAGCGGTCCTGCCAAAGGGGCGACCAGTTTGACCAGTCGGTTTGGGATTCTCCTTGCCTTTCGAACTCCGCTGCTCCCATCACGCCACATAGATCCCCCCGATCGGGAGAAAGGTGAGGAGAATCCCGACCGACTGGTCAAACTGGTCGCCCCTTTGGCAGGACCGCTCAAAAAGGAAGGTGCATGCGAGGGACTTAGCGAAATCGCGCATTCAGCACTCTGCAGACGTCTGCGCGCGCGGGCGCTTCCTGGTCACCCGCCCGCCCCACGTCCGCGCGCACTGTTTACGAGTCCCGCGCACTGCGCTGGCATGCACACTTTGTATAGGCGAGCTCATGTACATGTATATAAGTCGCTAATAGTAGTCCTCAAGGTCCAAGGAAGGCTCTTCCTCGTCGTCGAACCTGGTCTCAAGTTGATCCCCGATGACATCATGAAGAGGCTCTTGCTCTTCGAGCTCGGCGGATGACGCCTCTGAGCCTGCCAGGCTTGCAGAGTCATCGAATGCTGCAGCAACGGCGATGGCAGCAGTCTCGAACTCCCCATCGCTATCATTGAAGTACGCATCGTCATCAGAGGCAGTATTCTGCATGCTGCGTGAGATCGACGGTGCAACAAGGAGTCGCACGAGTACGTACCGAGACTATGTCATCATTTGGACCCATGTCCTCGACTGCACCATGGCGGAACTGTTCCTGAAGCCGCGTGAAGGCCGCGTTGTACTCAGCGATGGGTTTGCTGAGCGCGAGCGCGCCTGTCGTGACTACATCGGGAACGAGCGGCTTCTTGAGGCCACGAAGGTATCTCCCGGGGGTGTGGACGAAAATCTCGTGTGCGTGCATTGAATCTTGCAAGCAGGCAAGATCGCGCTCAATGGATGGGGTGTGGTGCTTGGTTCCGAGCCGTGTGCCTTGCTGCGAGTTCATTTGCAAGATGAGCTGACGGAAGAGGGTGATGCACGGTGTGATCATTGACAGCCATTCCCATGACGCGTTGCTCCCTTGCGCCTTGTATACAATCTGGCCCACCACCGCGCAGGTAAGCCGTGAGAACCGCATGAGTGGCGGGCAGTGAGAGATTCATACTTTTGTCCAAAAGTTCATGTGTTCCTGCATAAGATCGACCGGGACCCATGCATTATTCTTGCCTGTCGGATTGACAAGCCAGTTTTTGAGTATGATGTCGCTGTTTGGGAACGGGTGAGCATGTCCCCAACCGTACACGGGGAGGCGGACTCACTGCAACGGCTTCGGCCATACAACCTCTACTGAGTGTATGAGGTGGAGCAGCTCATAAGCGTACTTCGTCCGGCCACACCCACGGAACGCAAGCGCGAGGTGCTTCAGGACACGGACGATGCGCCCGGAGTATCCACCCTTGATCGCGTCTGTGAATTCACGGGCTATCAGCGCGTCGCGGAGGAAGAGACACGCATTCTCATATAGCAGGTCACCGTGCTTCAGTGCGTCTGCATAGACATCGTACTCCTCTTCTCCAGACTTCTCGCCGTTGCGAACGGCCTCCTTGCGTGCCGCCAGTCGAGCTGCAACCTCGGCCTTGCGGTCATCTCGCATTTCGTCGACTGTGTTCTGGTTGCAGAACTTGCTGACGATGGTGTGCGCGTCTTCAAGGAGCTGGTCGTACGTGACTTGTGAGGCGTATTCTTTGAGCGAGTCGTGTCCTGAGACGAGTTTGAAGCACGTGAGTACACACGCAGTGAGCGAGACGAAAATGAGATCGCGGCATGTGCGATAGGGAGGGAGGGATGTGGGGACGATGGGCTTGCGATTGAGAAGGGTGTTGAAGAATGAGAGCGATATGGGGTTGCGAGAGCCAGGTCCCTCCGTCTCGCCGAAATGGGTCTCCATTATGCCGTTGACCAGCGCCATCTGGTAATGGAAGAGCCCGGGACAAAAGACGGCGTACCCGTACGACTTGGCAAGCCTCTCATGCCCGCCGCGATTGGCCATGATGGTGCGTGCACGGGCGACCGAGAGTTGATCGCCAAAGAAGAGTTGAACAAGTTCTGGGAACTTGTCGGAGTCGACATCGATCCCGAGCTCTTCCATGATGGTGTCGAGGACTTCGGCATTGCCGACGATGCTGCTCTCATCAATGTTCATAGCTGGGAGGGTGTAGGGTTTGGTCTTATGGAGCGGTATCTGGTCATCAGCCTCCGGTACACTGCTGAGAACTTTCGAGCGGAATTTGGAGAAGTACTCGCAGTTGTTGACGAGCTCTCGCAAGACGGTGTGGGTGAGGGAGTTGCGGAGAGAGGTGAGCTCAGTCGGAGAGAGCATAACCTGGTTGAAGCTCAAGGGCGGGGCAGTGTCGAAAGAATTACGGAGGTTGGAGCTCTTCATGTCGATTGGTGAGGCATCGAAGAGAGGGAATATTGTGGTGCAGGTCCCGTTCTCTTGAGCATCCTTGCGACCGACGATTTGCTCGGAAACCTTGAATACCATGTTGATGTTGTCATACACAGCACCGAAAGGGGTAGAGTGAGCCAGAAAGCGGGCAGCATGACGAGCAGTGTTGGAGAGTCGGCGAAGGAGACCGCGCCAGCCGGCAGCCTGGGCGAGGCGAGGACGGGGCAGTGGGCGCTTGATCGCGTGGGCTGCGCGCGCGCTCAGAGTCCTCGCGCGCGCACTCGGAGTCTGCGCGCGCGCGTTCGGCGTGGGGTGTCACGTCCTCCTCTCCCTCAACCGCGACCTCCATACGGCTCTCTCCCCCTGGCCGACCTCTAGTCTCTGCTTCTTCGGTGACAGCAGATGTTTGACCTACAATTAGCAAGTGTGGTCAAGCTCAATGGGATTAGGAACAGACACACCTTGGTGAGTGCCTTTGTCCTGCTCATCTGCGCGATCGACCTCCGGTGGGACCCCCGCAATCTCAACCACAGGATCCTCAACTTCGTCATCATTGGCGAGGTCGGGGTCATCCTCGTTGTCGTTCTCCACTGGGGTGTTGTTCTTGCCCTTAGCCGAGGGTTTGAGAGGAGCAACTGATGATGTCTTGCTGCTCCCGGCTATTGCAGCATAGCTACTGCATATGCCGAGCGACGCAAGAACAGTGATCGTTTGGCGTGAGGCTCCGGACGCGAACAGATATAGGCCCATTATGTGCTTGAGAAGGCTGTTGTTCTGACTGCGCTCGCCCAACAGGTCAGCAAGTGCAATTCCTATGCGCTGTGAGATAAGACCAGTCAGCACGCGTCACTGAGCAGTAGGTAATGTAGACTCACTATTTCCTTTCGTTTGTTGCGCGCTGACCAATCTTTCCCTCCCGCGTCGTCAAGTGCATTCTGTCTCCGCTGTCGCAGGGTAGTGCTGAACTCGCTCATCACGGCCGCCATGTAGGGCATTTCTCCGCACGCGTCGGAGGAAGTCTGATATGTCCAGCTCCTGCAAGAAATCCTCAGTCACCTCCACCTTTCTGCCCTGAAGTACGCCAGACCGCGTCAAAGCATCTGCCTCAAGACGGACTTCCCGACCGACATGCTTGACTGCCCACTCGCTAATGGTTCCCATCGCCGTCTTTGTGTTCCGGTAACGCCCACATGTCGAGGACTCGGTTTACTTGCTTACCGTTCCTGAAGAATTCACTCCATCGCTCCTCACGGTGGCCCGAGGTCGGATTTGATATCCACTCGACAAAGTCGCCCCAGGGAATCTTCGCCTCCTTGAGAGTCTTCACGATGCTCTCGAAGACCTCGTTCTTCGCTTGCTGTTCTGCTCTCTCAAGGTCGACCTGCGCCTGTCGGTTTTGAGCCAGGTTGGCGTCGCGCTCAGCCCGTATTGTGACGTTCTTCTTCGACTTGGTACGTTGTTGATGAACATATCCTCGGCGTTTATTGAAGTCCGTCCTACCCTCTCCTGGCAGCTTTTTAACATGCGGTGACATTGTGAAGGAGTCGTCACTTCTCGGGTCTTGAAAGTCGGGGTCGCGAGTGGGAGTGGGTGGAAGAGACCGTGCATGTTGCTGCCCTCGCGGTGTTGAGAGGACACTGAGATGGCCACGGTTCATCGATGTGGTGTCCAGGCAGTCTTGCAGATCTTGAACATCAGAACTTGTTCGTCTTTCATGGGCTGTTGCTGCTCGGGCTGCATGCCGTGCCGCTGCGCCTATTGTAGGTGACTCCGGAGGAGGAGAACTCAGTTCCGACATGCTCCATAGGTCCGTTTCTTCCCAGAGCTGTCTTTCCTTGCTCTGACCAGCCATTCTTCAGGGAGAATTATGAGTTTAACGGAACATCGGCCGCGCTTTACCGTACCTTGTAGGGGTTGATGCATGTAGAGAACGAAGCCTGCGCGGGACGTTGCAATGCGGAATTTTTGGCGCTTATTCTGGCCCTCCCTCAGACGGTGCCGCTGCCGCGGCGTGCACTCCCTCTCACTCATACACTCCCGGCTGCTACTCATTTGTACTCTCTGCTTCATCCCTGCTCTTCGTCACTATGGGCCATCGATCTCGCCCAAGTAAATTGCGGAACTATGCGATACAGAAGAGTGGCACACCTCGCCCGAGGCTCACCGAAGTCGACACCACCCAGCTCAAAGCTCATATGCGCGAGGCCTTCAAATGGGACTCGGATCCAAAGGATTTCCAGCTCAAGGCTGTTGTCGCGCAGCTCGAAGGCGTTGATATGATTGTCCAAGCTCCCACAGGTGCGGGGAAGACAGCTCTTGCCGCAGGTCCGCATGTTTGGCCCGCTTTTGCAAAGAAGGTCACCCTCATGGTGAGTCCCTCATGGCTCTGGAAGAGGAGATGGTATGTTGCATTCCAGTGTGCCCAGTTCCCCAGTGAATGATGTGATGCGGACAC